AGGTTAACTTGGTGGGTATCTTGCACTGGCAAATCTCCATGAATGTTAATCCTTGTGGGTCCTTGCAGGACTCAGCAATTTAAGTTTTTAATTGCCTTTGCTGTTCTTTGAATAAACCCCAGCAGTGAAAAGTGATGTAAATTCTACATGGGCCATCTGAACCTGTATGGCAATATTCATTGATGTTATGGACAGAAAGCATCATTTTATCGGTCCTCTTATCAACACAGACAGCAGAAGCTTACTGCCCAGCCTGAACACTGAGTCTCAGGACAGCTGGACTGATGCTGATATTATTAATAAAAATTGCAAGATGTTGAGGGAAAATACATACCTCTTGTTCTTACTCTGAACAAACAAGCTGCTGAGTCCCATCTCTTCCTAGCCCCAAGGAGCCTCTGTCACTCAGATGTATACTCAAGCATACACCTAAAATGCAGAAAAGCTCAGCAAATTCTATCATCAGAACAACAGATTTCATGATAAACTCACTACTGCCAGCTAGAAAACCTCAATGTAGACAGTCATGTAGCTTCCTTCTTGGTGCTAGTGGTTGGTATCAACCGGATGAAGAGCTCATGGAGAGTTTTTCCTTCCCTTACAGGATTGCTGGAGGGCACTGCTGGAATAACAGATCTCTAGGCAGATAAAATGAAGAAATTCTATGAGCCTTGCTAACTTCAGCTTCGCCCCAACCATTGACCACAGTGCTGATAATTTGAAAAAGCCTGAGTAGTCAGACTCTAACTGTTATCAAACTGCTATTTTTTTCCTTTTCTCAGGATCAGCAAAGGAGCAATGTGGGAATCCAAAGAACTGATACAAATTAAACATCTTTGAGCTGAGAATGGTTTAATCTCAGTGCTCACTTTCATGCATTTTACAGCCTATAGGTTTACTGCAGGTGGGGCACATTGGCCAGTGTTGAATAAGAAGCGACACAGATGCAGAATCAGCTTAGTCCAACCCACAGATCATAGAATCATAGAATAGTTAGGGTTGGAAAGGACCTTAAGATCATCAAGTTCCAATCCCCCTGCTATGGGCAGGGACACCTCACACTAAAACATGTCACCCAAGGCCCTGTTCAGCCTGGCATTGAACACTGCCAGGGATGAAGAATTCACAACTTCCCTGGGCAACCCATTCCAGTGCCCACCACCTTCACAGTAAAGAACAACTTCTTTATATCTAACCTTAACCTAACTTCCCCTGTTTAAGTTTGAACCCATAAGTGTGCTCTCTTGAAGTCCAGGGCAGTGAGCTTGCTGCATGCTCTTCTCACTGTCCTGAGGATCTCAAACTCGACCATCTCATGATAGCTACAGCCCAGGCTTCCCTGGAGCATCAAATTTCCTACTAACAGATCTTCTGAGGAGCCTCAGCATGTTTTGCCTCCCTCACTCCTGGAAATCAGGCTCTTTAAACCCCTCATGCCCCCCACCCCTGTTACTTACTCTACCTTTTCATAGCTTACCTGACAGACTCTTGATGAGTCATTTGAATGCTCCCAGAGATGGAGCAGACATGATTGGTCAGAGCTGGGATTCACCACTCCTGGATGTTCAGCTGTTAGCATTCATGGGTTGGCAGTGAGTGCTACAAGGCCATTTCCATCAGCTGCATGGGATCCCTCCACACAGGAAAATCCTGTAGAAGAGAACTGCAGGCATTCTGCTCAGAAATATTTGGGGGGATATTTGCCTTTCCTAAATCTCAGTTTATACCTATCCTTTAGAAAAAAAAAAAAAATAAAAAAAAGAAGAAAAAAGTCTGGCTTTGCTCAGAATCAAGGCAGCTATCGTATTAGGAAAAGATCTATGAGAGCAACAGTAGAAAGTATCACAAGCTGCTTTTTTCCCTAAGTATCATCCCATCAACTCTGCCTAGAATGAGAGGAGTCCTCTAAAAAACACCCAGCAAATTGTGTAGAGACATATTACATATGTGCCAGGGGGCAGAAAGAAGCTCTATGAGCAAATCACCAGCTTCACCTGCAACTTGGATTTCAGATCCTCTGTCTTTCACATGACTGATTATGCATCCTTAGTGGAGTCTTGTGATATAATGGTTAATGTTGAAAAGTCACACATCTATTGTCTGAGAACTATGTTACCATAATACTGAGGAATAGACTTAGCTTGCCTTGAATTACCTGGCTTTATGTGTTTGGGGACCTCTCTACACACCTGATCAGAGAATTACCCCCAGGTCAGAACTATTTCTATAGGGCTGAAATCTTGTATGTCACGGCATTGGACCATGGAGCTCAAACGCAGCCTCTGTCACCTGCACAGTGACTTCCCATGAATCCAAGTTGCCAAGATTTAGGACCTCTTAACCCTACAAAAATAGCAATTAGCTAGGAGACAGGAAAGTGTTCTCATGCTATAAGGGGAAACTCTAACACAGAATGACTGAAAAGATACTAAGCTCTTAGCCTGGGTTTCAGATCTTTTGCATCCCGACACCTTCAATGAGCTAACTCCATTGCTGTATCCATTAACGTATTTGCACAAATACATTCCTATGATCAATCATACAAATAAATATTTGGCTGGGTCTCTAATTCCCAGCTTATTTTTTCAACCAATCATAACAATTCATCTCTGATGAGCAAATTACTCCCAAATCCCAAGTAGCCGTACAAGGAAAATGTTCCAGACAACTGACACGTACATAGCACCTTTTGAAATTCCCACAGCCTTTGTTTTGGGAATGTTTAACTACTCATGAAGACAAATTCCTATAAAAACTAGGTATTTATAAATTCCGGTTTGTAAGCATTTCCTGAGCTGTAATTTGCTGTGCACAGCCAGAAGCTTTTCCAAACAATTTTATATTGTGAACCAAAGTAACACCCTTCAAACAATCCCCAATTCACCTACGTGTTAGGATGTAAACACACCATATAAATATACATTATGAATTCCTGCTGCAAAAGTGACTTCATTTAGCTTCTGCATTTTGAATACTGCAGTGGAAATACTAGGCTGTCGCCGTCTACTAGTGACTGATTTGTTCCAGTCTCACTTGCTGAGTTGCAGAAACTTAGCTGCTTTCTTTTCCTAAAGTTGAAATACTTTTTGAGCTCACAACGATACATTCTTTTTTTAGCACTCCCACCATCTAATGTATTAGGCCTTGCTGAAGTTCATAAATAATGATGCTCTCACCCCACTTGCTGAGCTTGCTGTGTTCTGCTGTTGCTGTGTTGAAACCTGAGGAACACCCATACAGTATCTGGCAGAATAGCAAAGAATGTCCTGTGCAATGCCTAAGAGTAATATCTCTGCTGATTTGCCAGGACTCCCAGTGCTGTTGTTCATTAATCTTTCTCAGCTGAAAACAGATGGGGCTATTAGGCAGGCTGGAGTAATGGGAGAAACTGGCAAGATAGAGAAGGAAATGCATTATCTTCTGGACAGAATTGCATGTAAAAATGAGAACATTAAAAATGTATTTTTCATATTTAATTGGACAATGTATGATTATACCTACCAGAAAATAATGTGCAACATGTTTTGTGCAGGGCATTTATAAAACTGTTCAGCTGTGCTAGGGCCTTATTCCCCTGCGGAGAGGAACAGTAGCTACAGTTCTGATAAGGTTTTTGTGCTTTTCGCTCTAACACAGGGCTTACTCTGTTGCAACAGCTACTGCAAGTAATACTACAAAATAGCTCTGTTTGTTGCAGTAAAAGGAAAATGCAGTTTATGATTTACATACAAACCACATGACGCCTACCATGTAAAAAATGAGCACTTTAGGAATCATGTCAGCATATGTGATATGAAGTCTAACAAAAGCGATGGAATTGCAAGTACAGCTGCTAATTCCTTTATATTACAGAGTCCAAGATGATGATTAAAAAGAGAAAAAAAAACCACCCAAAAACAAATTATGAAGTGGAACCAGATTGCTGACACAGGAAACAAGAAAGGCTGTAAAGAACTACTAAAAGTAGGACTTGGAAAAGTCCCGTTATGGATACTAAGGACTAGTCAGAATAGAGAAAGACATTTTCTAGGTCTACCAGGTAGGCAGTGGTAGATGACTCCTAGCCAGAAAATGACAGCATGGAAGCTACAGCCAAACTTTTGAAAGTATACACCGTGACAACAGAGAGAAATCATGGGAACTTACTAGAAGGTTACAATAAGGCATTAAATAAAGGCAAGTGCTTTGCCCAAAACTTAAACTTGCAAAGCCTGCTCTATCAAAGTGAGAAGCCTGAAAACAAAAATAGGACTGGGTGCCAGCCTGCTGATTGTTATTTGGAATAATAATTATGTCTGAAATGTGGTGGGATGTCAGAAGGTGCTGGGAAATAAATACACATTTCAGGCTCTGGAACTGAAAAGTTTGCAGTGACTCATACATGTCAATGTTTTTGAGTGAAGGGGGAAAAGGGAGCCACAGAATAAAACATGTCAAGGCAAGAGCCCAAATTAGAAGAAAAAAAGAATTTCATAAGATTTTATTTCTGATCCCTTGACCAGGAAAAGGGCAGCATTTAGGAAAGGTAAAGAGGAAAATACAAATCTACAATAATAGGCTGATGTTTGATATAAAAAATTAAAAACAAAACCCCTTTTTCCTTTTAAAGAAGCAGTAGCCCTAAATAAAAAAGAAAAACTGAAGCCCTCGGACTAAAAAATGGATAAGGCTTATCAACAGCCATGGTGTATGGTATCCCCTCAGATAAATGGAAGATGAGGACAAGGAAATGCTGGTATGGCTAAACTGGAAATGTTAGAAGTTATTCAGGCCAAAGAAGAAACCTTTAGGGAATGGAAATCAGAATTTTGTAAACCTGAAAAGAAAGTATGTAATAGTTAAGATGGAGTTTGAGCAAGCTAAGAGGGAATCTGAAGAGCAAACAGTAGGAAGTTAAAACTGAAAATACACATTTGCTCAGTACACCAAAAGCAGAAAACCGGACATAACCAGAAGGCCACCCCAAACAGTAAGTAGAAGAAACAATTAAAGACAATAAGGACATTGCCAAGAATCTAAACGATTTATTTGCATCAGTCTTCACCAGGGAGGGTGCTGGAGTGAAAACTAAATGAAAGACTCCTACTTTCCAAATATTAAAGATAAGGAGATTGAAGACTCAAGAGAGAAGTTGGTGGAACAAGTCAATAAATCAAAGGCATTAAGTTACCAGGCTTATCTGATATTTCTTGAAGATTTCAGGAGAAAACTGATAATTAAGTCACAAATTTGCTATCAAATACTACAGCAGAGGACTGGAAGACAGTGTTATAACTGAGTTGGGGGCTTCTGTTGTTGTCGGTGGTGATTTTTTCGTGGTATTGGAGGAGCTCTGGCAGTTACAGACAGACACGTAATTCTAATTTGCTATCATGTAAAATGGCTGAAATGTGTTAAGAAAACCCAAGCCTCACACTTCCCTAATTATGAAGCACACAGACAAACATGACGTGACAGATACGAGTCAGTACAGTGTCTATAAAGGTAAAAAAAAAGGGGCTCTTCGAACTTACTATCAATCCTTGAGCTGGTTACACCAGCCAGCACACCTAAGCTTACCCAGAACATTCCATGACTTGCTATGCAGACAGGCAAATAGCAAATGATTACCTCCCTGCTCCCCCCATCTACATCATCTCATGACCACTGAGTAGAAAATAATGTTCATATTGATAATGGCACATCAAAACAACATACAGGCCCATGCTACAGGTTATGCTGCTGCAGGGCAATCCAGTCCACCCTTCGGCAACGTTGTCAAGCCAAGGAAAATCATACATCTGGAAATGAAAGTTTTTAATATATGTGAAACATAATGATGGTCATTCTGAAGCTCTGATTGGAGATTTTATGTAGGGACAACTGGTGTTAGGCTCTCTTAGGATCAGCTTTTGACATCCTTCTGCACATTAGCTAATGAACAGGCCCCTGTGCTACAGGGTTCTCATTCTCAACATGCACAGTGACCTTGACCCTTAATGGTGAGTAATACAGGACTTAGGTAGTTAAGATTTTGGTGTTTTTAAAAGAATATATTTTAGCCAGGACTGAGCACTCATTTCACTTCTTCCCAGCTCTTCCCAGTGTTTTATGTAAATCTTTTCACAAAGCCATTAAGAACAGAAGAAAAGCACTTTGGAAAATTATGCAGTGATGTATTCTTATGCAGCCAACACTCCCAGGGGAAAAAGTGAAAATTACACACAGCCTCCCGCCCCTTTTTATTTCTTGTCAAAGAAGTTGCCTTTTTTTGGGCTTTTCTTACATATACACAGCATGATGAACTGATATTTGTAGTTTAAATGTCTGGTTTAACCACGTGGTTTCCACCATAACAGAAAGCTCTCACGAAATGTCAGGTTAGAAATAAAACCAAGCTCTAGAGAGAGGAGGTGGGGAGGAAAGCAGAAGGCCCAGTGGCTGAAAAACAAAAGGGGAAAAAAACTGAGCAGAACACAATGTGGATCCATTTCCCAACTCAGGCAGTGGTATTGGTACCGTGGTTGTATGGGGATCTGGGGTAAGGAGACAGACACATTTCTCACTGAGTTGTTTCTGCTTTCTCTATTAACATTGCAACAGAAATTACAAATAGCCCTGCAAGGGGTAGTGCATTAAACCTCATCTCTGCATCCCATGTAAACACAACATTAATACTGAAGAATAAAGAAAATGGTAAAAAGTCCAGTGTCTTGTTTTCTGCATTTTGCTTGTTAGGTTTCCTCTCCGCCCACCAGCATATTCCTATGTGTACCAAAGTTGTGAGCTTGACCAGCCCACGTTCAAGTGAACACTCACACTCAGATTCCCAACACATTCTTTTCTCCCCCTCGAATGGGGAGTTTATTCCTAACAGTTCTGCTCCTTTTAATTATAAACTCCTTTAACGAAGTAGTTCTGAGACCTTGCAGCAGGCAGCAGGAGAGCACCAAGGCTGCTAGTTGCTGTGTTTATATTCCCTGTTCATCAGAGAAGTCCACTTAAAGCCCAAGGCCCAGTGCCTTCACAGATGGGCATGCACTGAAATAAGCCTACAAATCAATATCCCCCCCGGCACAATGTGCCTCATAGGCAAAATCCAATTCTTGCCTAAAAAAGGATAAAGAGTTTCAGCCAGGCCCTTTATTTTACGAGACACACACGAACAAGTTGCTCTGGTGAAAACAAACCTTACACTGACAAGTTCTGTTCATGTTCTGGCAGAGCCTACTTGTCTTCTTTACTGGACCACCAGAACTGAAGATGGGAAAGAAACACAAGGGAGACATTTCCTTGGCAAGGAAAGGAGCAGCATTTAGGACTGGGGAAAAGGCGGGGTGGGGTATAGGGAATTTTCCTGATAAAACAACTAATTTGAGAGTAAAAGACCAACCGGTATCATGTATACACCTAAGCCAGTTAACACACCTTCTCTGGAGTGCAGTACTATATAAGCGTCCCCTTTGTTTTCAAGGCTAATTCAGACCTTTGGCTCATCCTGCATTAACAAGGTCATCCATGGTAACAGGGCCCCTGTGAAAGTTCACAGGTGAGAGTTCCCTTTTAGAGTAGTGCAGATTTGAAATTCACAGGACAGCGACCCGAAGATCTTCCTTTACAGATAAAAAGCATGTCAAATTATTAAATAGCAACATGAAATCCTATATTCTGAAGGTCTGTCTTTGCTCTGCAGTTAACAGAGCAAGAGTGCTTTCCCAGCCCCAGCCCAGTCCCCAGCTCCGTCGGCATGGCGGGCACGTGGCCGGCTCCTCTTGCTGACACCTCATGAACGCTAAAGCTGAAAGGCCTGGGGTAGTCGGGGAAGAGACAAATGAGCATAGTTCGAAGACATCTCACTTCAAATTTCTACTGTTAGAACTGCCAAGTATGATATAAAACCAGAAAGTATTTCTGAGTTCGAAGTTTGAAGACCCCAAACGTTGAGCGGCTCCTCCCTCCGGTGTCCCTATTTCCCTCACACGGGCTCTGATGTGCTAGCTGTTGCTCTCTGCCGTGAGATATTTGAGGGCTGCAAAGCCGTAGTGGCGTGACATATCCTGCTGGAACTCCTCCTTCAGGGTCTTGAGACAGATGCGGTATTGCTTGTTGGAGCGAAACTTGGTGATGTCGAAGCTGGGGGCGTGCGGCATGTGGATCATGTAGGCATTGGGCAGCACCGTGAACTCGTACTCCTGGGGGAGAAAGACACTGGCTGTGAGGATGTCCCTGAGCCCCCTTGCGACACATCTCTGCCATACCTCCACAGTCATACATGCTCCATCACACAACAGTGCAGTGTGAGTCTCAGAAATTACAAACTCATACAGATAAGACAAATAAGCCTTCTTTTTAAAGTTGATTTTGCTTGGTTTTATGAAAGATCTACTTTATATTTTACAATATTTTACTCCATATAAGCCAAATAATGGGGAAATGGTACAAAAGGCAGGCCTGAAGGCCCTCTACTCTGCTCTCGTGAGACCCCACCTGGAGCACTGTGTGCAGTTCTGGTGTCCCCAGCATAAGAAGAACATGGAGCTGTTGGAGCAAGTCCAGAGGAGGGCCACGAGGATGATCAGGGGACTGGAGCACCTCCCATATGAAGATAGGCTGAGAAAGTTGGGGCTGTTCAGCCTGGAGAAGAGAAGGCTGCCTGGAGACCTCATAGCAGCCTTCCAGTATCTGAAGGGGGCCTATAGGGATGCTGGGGAGGGTCTTGTCAGCAGGGACTGTAGTGACAGGACGAGGGGTAATAGGTTCAGACTTAAACAGGGGAGATGTAGGTTAGGTATTAAGAAGAAATCCTTTACTGTGAGAGTGGTGAGGCACTGGAACAGGCTGCCCATGTAAGTTGTTAGTGGAACAAACATGATCAACCCAGAAAGACTGAAAGCTGCTGGGTTACAATGCTACCAGAAACCAAGTGTTTGATCTACACAGCTCAAAATAAAACGCAAATGAAATGGAAAAAAGTGAGCAGAATGCAATGTGGAGCTATATCCCAACTCAGGCAGTGGTACTGGAGACCCCAAAGTGTAGCTAAAGCTGCAGTACCTGCCCAGAGACACCTATGAAACAGCAGCATGTACTGGACAGCTAGGTGCAGATGCAGCTGTATGGCTGCTCCTTTCTTATTATGGGAATGCCTCTTCCCTGCCAGACAGTGCTGAAGTGTCAAATCTTTGTGCCAAGTTACAATGCGGTCATATATGGGAATAGGCCCCTCTGAGCTTGTGTTTGGGGTGATGAATGTACAGCAAGAACAAAATAATCTTGATGCTCACAGGCAGAACTTATTTAGCTGGAAAACACTTGGAATTAATGGGGAACCAAATGCAAACAAAAAATAGGCTGGCATGATGAAGTGAGGAGAGCTGATAAACAACAAACTATAAAATACGTCTTTACAAGACCTTAAAACTAAGAGCTGAAGCTGCAGAGAAAGACCCACTCCCCTCCTACAGTCTTTGCTCTCTGTTTGCATCTGAAGTCAGCAACCCTGCAGTTCAGGGACTGTCTATGCTCTGTAGTGTAAACTGTTCAGCACAGCAATGCTCCCATCCTTCTGAAAATCCTTCAGGCACCTACAGCCTTCCAAAAACTTGTATGAGTCTACTGCTAATAAGCCTCTTTGAAAGATGCTGGGCTAGTGTCCTGGCAAAAGGGATGCTCACAGTCTAGTTCCACAGTCACTAGAAGAACAGGGAAAGGCTTCCTAATGATCCATCTCTATTACATGGAAACATTTATGGACAAAGCAATGCACTGGCAGGAACCTCTGTGCCTATCTCACAGGTTATACATTCTTTAGATGAACACTGTCATTATCTATGTATTTGGACAGCATCCAGCTCCGTGGACATATACATGCCTCCAGAATAATAATGATGCTTATTTCCACACAGTGTGCTGCTCTGAAGGATGGCAGTGACACAGGCCCTTGGTACAGAAAATGAAACAGTCCTCTTGACAGACACTGCAGTTGTGAGGAGCAGTGAAATAATTCAATTGGGAAGCTGCTCTGCCTGCTGGTAATGAAACCAGCCAAGCGGCTGGCAGCAACCTGATCTGTGGACACCCCGAAGCAGAGGAATGCCATACGGGGATGTAGCTATGTGATTCCAGATCCTCTCCAGGCTGATTCTGTGGGAGAACAGGCCAACATCCGTGTTGCTACCCATGATGGAAATTAAGCTTCTTTTCAATATGAGAATGTTTTTAAGGCTGGAAGAGTGAGAAAAACAATTCCCCAGAGTTAGCTGCAACTCAATGGCTTTTTAAAATACCTGTATGATGAACAACTTTGCAAAATGTTCCATTTTCCCATGTGTAAATCTGTATGCTGGGCAAACATCTCTGAACAGAAGAGTTAAACTGTGAGTGCTAGATGAGAGCTGCCAGTGGGAACATAAAGCCTTGTTACCCAGATTAACAAATAATATATCATTACCCTAACACTCTCCACAACTGATGGTTAAATGATTAGCGTTTGGAAAGTGCATTGGAAAATTAAAGTGCTATAGCAGAGCAAAATGTTATTATTAATGATAAGGGGCCTTTTTTTTCTAGTCTGTCATAATTTTTTTTATCAACGTAAGTAGGTACAAATTCCTTGGGAATGCCCTTCTACAAACAGGGCAAATGGCTGCCAGCGCAAGGTGACTATGTGATTTTGTAAGCAGTAGAAAATATGCCTCCCACAAACATGCCTTCACACAAATAGCCCACAACTCAGACACAATTTCCCAGCATCTTGCTGTATGCCTTGTGCTGCTCTGCTTCACATAAACTGTTAAGAGTTGAGCAGAGAAGGATCAGCTCTCTTCCAGATCCATAGCAGAAGCTACCATAGGAGGATATAGATGGCCAAACCCCATGTTTTTTGGTTAGCATGAAATGTTACTAGTTCAAAAACTAGGTTTGAAACCAAACAAAAACCCCCAAACAAACTCAAACTATAAAGAAATGCTATAACAAATCCTGCTGATTACCACAGTGGTTAGCTTCACAGTCAAGGGCAATAGCGAGATGCAAACCCTGACATTTCAGTAAGGATCAGCAGCACCAGGCTCTCACAAAGCCATAGTCACTGCCAGACCCTAAGATCTACGTCAGTGGCGGGGACTGAGAGCTCTCGTGCTAATCTGAGACTCTCAAGCTTCCTCTGCAACATCCTTACTCTTACATATTTTGCCCAAGAACTTCATCCCAAGTCACAGATACAAGAGGAAGGTAGGCCAAGGATCAAGTAGCTAGATCCTCTAGAGGCTGCTCTACAGCCAGAGACTTTCAAAATGCAGTCCTTGGCTTTGCAGAGATGCGCTGCAAATCCAGGCCAGAAACCGAAGAAGCTTGCTTTGGATTCAATTTGAGATTGCTTTCTGAATTCTAAACTAGCATTTGGGACTCAGTAACCTCAGTTTAACCAAAAAAACTTCCAGCTAAGTCTGTGGATCCCCTAGCAGGTTATGAGACTCTCAACATGTGCTGCAGTGCTAAGGCACACTGCTGGCCAGGAGGTGGACATTGCAGGGACTGTGCCACTTCAAAACAACTTTCTCAGTACTGACAATTAAACTAACTTAGACTTAGTTCTGCTTTTAATGCTTGACATGGACTAAGCTGAGTCTTCCCAACTCAACAGGCACTCTCGTTCAGGAGCTCAATAAGGTCAGATGAGTACTTTGGTGACGCAAAGCCTGAAGCCTTTCTACAGAGCACTGATTTCATTTTAACAACCCTCCTGCCTAGCCGCTGGGTGAGATATGCAGGTGTCGTCTCCTCACCTGTGCATCCAGTTCCATGATGTGAGCTACTTTGTTCCAGCCAAATCCAACAAACCGCCTGTCATACTCTGGGCAGTCCTTCCTCACAACAACGTATGGCTCAAAGTCTGCTTCCCACTCGACACGGTAGGGGGTGGTGGCTGTTCGCCACTTGGCAAAGTTCGTTGGCGCATGCCCTTTCGTCCAGACGTGATACCTTAAACAGACATAAATGGCACGGACGTGGGGAGGCAATTAGATAGAATGCATCTTGGCGAGGCAACAAAATGTTACTTGTTAGATGAAACGCTCAAAAATAAGGACATTAGCATACAGTTCACATCATCATTTTTAAGACAGAGCGGAGGCAATTTCTAGGACTATTTCCAGCACGCTTCCCAGAGCCTCTATGTACTCAATGCTTAAACACATCCAGTTGGTGAAGGATAGTGTGAAAACACTGCCTAATGCTAATGTGAGAAACAATTACAAAGTATGCAGGCAGCTCATCTGCACTACAAAGTGCTGTGGCTTGTACCTAGCAACCAAGTGGATGTATCAGTGCTCTAAAATCAGTGTGAAAGTCCGCAGCTCAGATAAGGTCCCTAAAATTAGCTATTTCCTTCTATACTACACTGACATTCACTATTTATTTTATATATCATTTTATAATTTGTATGAGAGACACCTGCAGCTCTGGATAGATGTTCTATTAGTTACTGTGATTATGATGGCAGGAGCCAAAGTGCATAATTAAATGAACAAGTAAAATATTACATAAAAGCTTTCTATTGTACTTTCTACACTGTGAGGAGCACCCATGTGATCCTTAGTAAGGTAATCAATTTCATTTACAGAAAAAGATCCTTTTATACTTCGCTAATCTTGTTTAGGTCACAGCAGGTCTCTTCCAAGCACAGCTTGAATGCACCCCATTAGTGCCAGGGTCAATGACTCTCTCACCCACTTCTTCTTCTTACACTTTCCAAAAATCAATGAGACGGGTTCTTTCTGCAGACTCACAGATTAAATAATGAAAGAAAGGCATAGCTGGCCATCTGTATTACAGTGCTCAGAGACATGTAACAGAAGGGGCAAAACAAACACCCTGACAATTCATAATGTAAGGCACACTGAATTCACAGGGATGATTTGCACTAAAAGTGCTGAGATTTGAGCATTAAATCTTTTCAGAATTAGGACCTGAGGTAACGTTTCAGCCCCAGAAATTCTCATAACATTGGGAGTCATTGCTAAAAGCAGGGATGCAAAATCACACCCAGGAGTTTTCACTAGGACTGTATATTTGTATGGCTTGTAACAGGAAAAACAGAGAAAAGTGTTGACTACTCTTGTTCAGGGGCAGCCAGGAAGGCAGAATAATTAGTATAGCACCAGGGTCCCCAGTTACGCATGGCCCTTTGAAGGCTGCATTTCTAAACTGTAAACAGGTTGCATCGCTTTCAGTTATCTGGCTCAAGGACCTGGGAAAACAGCCCTTCTGTATTAAAAAAAAAAAAGACAGTGAATTAATTCTCCAGAGATTTTTAGAAAAGAGTGCCAGATTCACAAAGATGCTTACAATGCTTAATGCCCTTTGCAATCATCTCCAAAAAGCCTATCCCTTTCCATGGTCTCTTGGAAATCAGTGGGTAACCCACCTAGCCACTAATGGGCAGCTATCTATGCCAGAAAAAAATATTATCACAATGTGCGATTTAAAATTATATGGGATTGTGGAGAATGCTTTATCTTCCAAAATCCTACCTCCAGCATTTTGAAATTAATTATGGTAATAAAAATAATGACTACTAAACACTTCCAAAGTGATTTGTATCTTCAAAGCCCCATACAAACTTCAGTTAATTGAGAGATCCCTGCAGAGAAGCAGTCAAGTACTGCTGTTGTTCTAGTAACACTCCAACTGATTTAAACAGGGGGGAAACAGGATGCCAAACATAAAAACCAGCAATTTCTTTCCGCCATGTTTAGGGATATCAGTGTAAGCTGCTACAACAGCTCAGGTATAATCTCTGCGAGTCGAGGGAGCTGACCAGCAGGGAAAAAAATGGGAAGAGACAGGGAGGGGAAAATATGGGAATGAGATTGGAGAGATGAAACAAAGTAGAAAGGAAGGAATAGACCTGATTGTACCAAACAAAATAATACCAGAGATGATCTACTTGCCTCTGCAGAGTGACAGATGTGAGTGGAGGGAAAGAGCGACACAAAAGGATGGCTAAGGTCAGGATGAAGAGAAAAACGAGTACATGTTGCTCAAATGAGGTGTGTGCACATTAATTATAAAGGAATAATTAGACCGGAAACAAGAATTGTGAGAGTTCAGGATTCCACACATATCTGTACATACAATACAGATGAGTCTACATATATACATACACACATATAATCTGCTGGAGCTGGATCATGGCCAATGGCCGATCACCAAATGACATGTAACACACAGTAAGATATGCAGAGACCATTACATGGGTGTCCAGACAGAGGAAGTTATTATAAGAGAGCGAGTCATTTCCAACAGACTTTACTCTCAGAGATGCAGCCGTGGCACGTGGTTCACTGTCTGTACTGGTCTTCCATCTCACAGAACAAATTAATAAATCTAATTTTCCTGCTCAGGCCCTTGTCACTCAAGATTTAAGTACTCATCAAATTTTAAGGCTGCACTCACTGACTCCCAGAACTTCCTGAAAATCGTGAACAATGTATTTTTCACTACCGCTGGCAATTTTGGCAAATCCAAAAAAAGTAATTTGACCTCAGTAAAGTGCTGACGAATTATGATTTATGGAAAACAACTGGAAAAAACATACACTTTGGATCAAATGTTCCATCTTAAACAAAGCTAGGAAGCTGGCACAGAGCAACCTGCTTCTGTGGAGGGCTTCCACGCAGCACTCCTTGCGAGCCACAGATGCTCACGTCTTCCCTTTTCTCCTGGTGGTGACTGGGGATGTAATTTAGAGCCTTTTTGTACTTCTTAGCTGCCCAGAGCTAGGAAAGGTCACCATTTGGAAAAGAGGTGGCAAAAGCAATTTCAGTGAGGAAAAGATTGTAATCTACCACGTGGCACGAGGGACTGGGATGCTGCAGGCCCTTTCAGCAATCACTGTCACAGCAGTCCTCCCCAGCTCACTCCCACCCGCTCAGCCTCGAATTGCAGCATTATTACAGCACCTTGAACGCAGAGGTGGAAATTCTCAGCCCAGATCACAGCTGCTTTGTGGCTGTTGATAGATTTGAGCAATGAAATGAGCCAAAGCAAACTTGGGAAGCATTTGCAAATTGTGTCCTACATTAATAAGAACACCAGCTACAGACCGCATGTCCTTCAGTTCTTATTTAACCTTGCTCTGGCAAAACTCCCACTGATGTTAAAGACAGTTTTGCCTAAGTGATACTTGAGAAAGGACCTGCAAATCTGTCTGTGTACATAACATGCCAACATGCTGTATAGCTTGAGGATAAAATCTGTAGTGGAAGCCCCGTGCTGTGCAAGTTGAAAACTTGATTGTTGGTGGAATGTAGCATCTGAAAATCCTGAGGGTGCTATTTTCCACTGGAAGGGTATTTTTCTTTCAACTACTGGGGAAACAGTCATTTCATAGAACATAGTCGTTCTATCAACAAATCTCTTGTTAATTTGTATGTCTTTGACTGTTAAAGAATGATGGAAGAGTGAATGGCACTTGATCTATCAGTATTCTGAAGTAATTTTCCAGAGAGAGGCATGCCTCAAGTTTCTATTTCAAGTCGGTCACTGGTAGAGGCAGTGTCAGGATTGTTCTCCAGGCTCACCAGGGTGTTTGCTATTTGGCCAAATGAGGGAAGGGTGGCTGCTGCAAAGAGAGGTGTGAAACCCACACAATGGGAGTCTGAGGAAAGCTATAAAGAGAAGGATGGGAAAGGTGATACAGAGCTCCACTGGCTATGGATAATACTTAGCTTTTTCAGAGTTTTTATCTCTAGATCTCAAAATACTGTAAAAAGGAAAGGTGAACACTGCTACCTGCATTTCAGAGGTGGAGAACAGAGATGTAAGAAAATGAACTGATTCGTGTACCACCTCCCAGCAGGGCAGTAGTGGAGCTGAGAAGAGAATGCACGTCTCCTAAGCCCCCTCTCTGTGAAACATCATAAGGCCATATTGTACTCTTCCCATCACTGCGATGCTTTACAAATGTCTGCTAATCAGACCTTACCACACACACCCAAGAGACAGTTAACCCTAGTAGTTGCATTTTAAAACCAAAGAGTCTGGCAGATAATAGAAGTGACTTGCTCACAGCCATAAAAGGTGCCTGCTTCAGAGAGGAGCTCCAAATTTAGGTGTTCCTCACTTCTCAACTTCTAGTCAGAGTACACTTTTACCTCTGCATTAAGAAACCCTAGCTATCTAAGCAGCTGTTTCACACTTTGAAAGAGCACATGACAAGCCTGCATCTGTTTTTTCCCGTAACTCATTCAGGAAGTGAACAAACCAGCAGAGAAAAAATATTTTTGGTCACACAAGGGATCTCTTCAGAGATCATGATCACACATTCAACAAAAGTACTTTCCACTACCTGAAAGTGAAGAGGGTTCCCATGTCCAACATAGAGAGCAGCTCTGCTTTTGACTTGGGGAAGGAGAGGCGGTAGCGTAGGGTCTCAAAAGCAGGTACGATCAGAGCTTTCTTGGTGTTAGCCAGGTCGAGCTGGATGACGGACTTCCTGGCAAAGAGAAACAACAAATAAAGCAGGAAAATTGTAAACGGAGCAAATTGCCTGGCTTTTCAAAATAAAGCACAGAGAATGGGCAGTTTGATACTGTAAATGTAACTATAGCCTGTATTTTTCCCACGGGTGCTACTTTTGAGCAGGAAGAACGACAAGAGTTCAAAAAGAACTTGTATGTTTGACTGATCAATGATGCCCTGCATGTCCAGGGGTGCACAGGACTGAACTAGCACTTTAAGCACAGCCAACTGACCACCCCTTTGAGAGAAACATAGCTGAATATTAATACATATATGGGAAACAGCTGCTTAGCCAATGCAGCTCTAAAAAAATGGGATTTATTCAGGATTCAGTGGCATTTCACAAGATGAGGAGCTGGAAAGTTTGGCTGCACCTCAGCCCAGTTATTCTCTGTGCTAAGTTGTGCCATCATACTTGCTTTTTACCTCGGCTTTAGAGCTCTGTCTGTCCTGCAAGGGGAGTGCTACCTTAACATTACTATAGACCAGCTATTTGCTCTCATGAACACTATTATTTGTAAGAGTACTTTTTATTATCTTTTATAGGAGTGGCCAAATTTAGTTCCATCTGTGCCTTCACCTGTCAAACTTTCTCTCTACATAACCTAACAAGATCTTTGTACTTTCCATGGGGTGACAGTCCCTTCTTCCACAGGTAGTAAGTTCTCTTTTTTTTTCCTGAGTTCAAGCAATATCTCCTTGGTCAGCCAGGCTGGTCTCTTTCCCGCTGGTCTGGTTTTCAGTACATAGGAACCACCTGCTCCAGTGCCATAAGGGTTTCGTTCTTGAAGAGTGCTCAGTCCTTTTGGACCCTTTGTCCTTCAGTAATGTTTCCAAGGGAAGTATGATAACCACTGTCCTAAACAGGCCAGTCAGCCCTCTGGAAATCTTAAGGTGGAGGTTTTGCTGACCTTCTTCCTGATTTTTCCAAGGATTCAAAATTGAATCATTTCATGACTGCTTTGCCCAAGATGGTCTCCAACCAACACATCATCCACCAGTCCTTCTCTGTTTGTGAACAGCAGATCTAGCCAGGCATCTCCCCTAGTTGGCTCACTAACCAGCTGGGTTAGGAAGTTATCTTCCACACCCTCCAAGAACCTCCTGGATTGCTTCTTCTCTTCTGTGTTGTACTTCCAGCAAACATCTGGCAGACTAAGACCTCCAAGAGAACAAGGGCAAGGGATGATGAAACTTCTCCTACTTGTTTGAAGAATACTTTATCCGTAGCTTTATCCTGGCTGGGTGGTCTATAACAGACTCCTATTTGCTTGGATATTTGCTTGGTTGGCCTCCCCCTGATCTTTACCCACAAATATTCGGCATTCTCACTCACATCATTGAGTTCAAGGCAGTCAATGCACTCCCTGACAGACAACACAACCCCACCACCTCTTTTTCCTTGCCTATCCCTTCTGAAGAGCCTGGAGCCATCCATTACAGCACTCCAATCATGTGAAGCATTCCACCAGATTTCTATGATGGCAATTATGTCATGATTTCCCTGCTGCACAATGGCTTCCAGCTCCTCCTGTTTGTCACCCACGCTGTGGGCATTGGCATAAATGCATTTAAATTGCCCTGTGAATGTGGACTCCCAACAGCAGCACGCTATCCCCTAGATCACATCTAGTGTGCCTGGTGTTATCCCTTTCCCACTTTGAAACTAGTTTGAAGCCCTTTCTATAAGCCCTGCTAGCTCCTGGGCTAGAATCCTTTTCCCACTTTGGGACAGGCATACCCCATCTGCTGCCCGCAGGCCTGGTGCTGTAAAAACTAACCCACGGTCAAAACTCCCAACATTCTGACCCTGACACCAGTCACAGAGCCAGGAATTAGTGATCTTATGGCCTGCCTGCCACAGGCATTCAGTCTGTTCTTTTCTAACAAACTAAAATCCAAAGAAAAAGAAGTTACTTTTCCATCCCCAAACTGAATTTTACTATGCTTGTCATTAGAAATAACTCTGTCTCAATTTTCCTTTCATTATCTTCATATTTCATATGAGAAATATGCCTCTCTCTCCTTGTCAAAGTCAGTTCCCTTTAACAGGACTCACTGTCCTGATTTTTATGTTACTGCAACAAGCAATCAGGGACAATGTTGACAAGCAGCAAAATCTCTGCAGCGTTACAAGATGAAGGAATTGGGATCACTGTCATAATAACAGAAGAACCAAACAAACCACTTTCCTTAGCCCAGAATATCTAAAATTCATTTATATTGATATCAGAGAAAAAGAAGAGGAGCAGGGCTATTTAATAAATCCTGAATTTTAGAGAATTCACACCACCCTATAGGCCTGTTCTATAAAAAGAAGTCTATTCTCAGCACCTTACTGTAAAGTTTGCATTGTTTAAAGAAGCTATGCTACATTCCAGTGAACTTTTCACAACTGAAGGATTTTAACGGCATAACTTTTTTGTACTTCCTTCACTACCTTCTCTCTCACCACTCCTTCACGGTCAGCATCCATGACCTTCCAGAATCATTGAGTAGTACCAGCATCTAGTCTTTATGATGCTGTTAATGTTTCTCCCCCTTCACGCCTTCTCTGAGAGCAGAGGACACTGACATAGTTTCTCTTTCAACATCTCAGGCTTTCTGATCTCTGTGCAATCTATCAGACTTGAGTGGTACAGCTTTGGGGATTCAGTTCTAGGAAGGAGCAAGTAACATTTGCAGTGATGCTCACCCTTTGGGCTCTGCAAGGAAATAACAGCTTCCATTTATGGCTGTTACTGTCTCTTTGTTTGATGGGGAGCTCAAAAGTCCCAGGCAAAAATGAAGGCCTTGATGTGCTTGGCACTGTCAAGAAGGAAGAGACGATCCTGTCCATCAGTGTTCACAGTCTGAAGCTGAACAAAGCTGAAGTAGGTATAGGTACTGCTGTGGTTTAAGCCCAGCTGGTAACTCAAGGGCCACACAGGAGTTCACTCACCCCTCCATTTCTCTCAGCCCCAGGAGGCATGGGGAGGAGAACAGAAGAATGTTTAACGCCACGGGTTGAGATGATAAAAGTCCAGTAACTACAATAAAGTATAGTGGTAATATAAAAAATACCAGCAATAACAATAGGAAACAACAAGAGAAGAAATGAAACCTCAGAAAACACAGGTGATGAACAATACAATTGTTCAGCACTCACTGACTGATACCCAGCCTGAACCAAACAGCGATCAGTCCCTTCTGTGCGACTCCCCCCAGTTTATATACCGGGCGTGATGTGCTGTGGTATGGAACCCTCTTTGGCTAGGCTGGGTCAGGTGTCCTGGCTGTGCTCACTCCTGGCTTTTTGTGCCCTTCTCACTGGTAGAGTATGAGACTGAAAAGTCCTTGACCAACCTAAGCATTACTTAGCAACAGTTAAAACATTGGTGTGTTATTAGCATTGTTCTCAGACTGAAAGCAGAACGCAGCACTGCACCAGCTACTAGGAAGAAAAATAACTGCTACAGCTGAACCCAGGACAGGTATCAAGGAAGGATAACAGCAAAGACTGTCAGACAGAGCAAGCTGCACCGAAGCTAGTGTTGAATGTGACTAATTTTGTAAGATATGGGATACAAGCACAAAACCAATGTGGGTATCGATAATCCTTTCTGCACTCTCCCTACTCTTGTCATCTGCAAATTTAATACAGGTATCAATGGCAAAACTGTTGGAAAAAATAGAGGACAGTACCATCATGAAGACAAACAAAAGAAAGAGGGAATAAACTGATACAAAAGGATGAAATCATTTGTACTGTCAAAGGTCAACATAAAAAGATAGGTAAGTGGAGAGAAGCAGAGGTCCGAAAGCAAGATGTTTGTAATAGATACAAACACAGAGAACTGGTAGAGGTACTTCAACAGTAAAAGAAAATAGTGGGATAATCTCTGCAGAAATATTTTCAAGAGATATGTTAAGCATCTAAGTTGCATGTCAGACAGGTCAAAGTGGAGGGGTTCACCAAAACTGAGCTGGGACTTGAGATATGCTCAAGTGAAGAACTCCAGCAGCACTGACCTCCGAGTAGTGTAGCCTGCCTTTGATGTGGACTATGACATAAAGAACTAATGTAAGTGGAAGAAGGAATCAGTGCTGACATCTACGTGTTCAACCTGAGTGACAAAGGACAAAAGAGGCCAAGTGCGAGGTGTCCCTGCCCATAGCAGGGGGGTTGGAACTTGATCATCTTAAGGTCCTTTCCAACCCTAACTATTCTATGATTCTATGTAAAATGTAATAATGGCAGGAGGATTTGATAGATGAAGAACACCTTCCATTTTCTCCTGGTGACTTGGCTGATGGTCTGCTCCTCAGCCAAACAGCTGAAAATACAACCTCTTCTTGTTCAAAGCAAAGCTACTTTTCCGTTTCCATGGGGTGACTTTTTTATCCTGTTTTCAGTGGATGTGCCATTTGCTGGTTGACTGGTTTTGTAGTACTTGGAATAGGAAAATTTCCATGTTATTCTGCAAACTAACACTGGGTAAACTGTTTAATTCCTGCACTATCCTAATGGGGGCTGGCTTTTGGATTCAGTAATATTGATTCAGTATCCTTTTTCCTTTATCTGTCCTTTTCCCCCAAACCCCAAAATACAGATACATGGTTTTATGAAGAGCTTTCTCTTTGCTAGCATTGTCCAGGAAACCGTTTCCCAGGCATCTTTGTGTTCAGACCTGATGTATGACATTCTGACACAGTGAAGGTTAGGTTAAATTTCTAAATCTACTAATCAACCCTATTTTTTGCAAAGCTTTGAAGAAATAAATCTTAAATCATGGGCCTCCTCACCAGTTAAATGAACTCCAGCATATTGGTGTCAATCTTTTCAACTCCATAATCCTTTCCAAAAATTCACATAGAATTCTCATCATTATAGGGGCAGATAGTAATATCATGCCCATTTCTGGAGGGTAGAGAAGCTCAAACACAGAAAGGTTAGCAACCTCATCCTAAAGCACTGAATTCAGGGAAAAGATAACGGTCCACTAATTAAAATCAACTTCCACCATCAGGACTCAGTAAGTGGTTAGCTCGAGATCAAGGAATATAGCAGTCACGGAGTTTGTGGTAAGAACTGGAGAGCTGTCACTCCACTGTTGAATTCATATTCTTAGAAAGTTCCTCCTCTCTGCAAAAGCAATGAGTGCATAGCCTACAAAGGCATCTGACAAATAAAAACCAAGAGACACTACATGAAGTGTGTCTCTTGCTGAGATGCTGACAAAAAACCAGAAATACTTCACAACTGATGCTGCAGGGACAGGTATAAAACCTATGGTTAAAGATTGGATGCCAGGACCCAATCATGCTAAATGTGTCACTGGAAGTGAAGGGCATATTTTACACAAAATGTGTCAGGGAAGAACTTTAATGCTAGCTGTGACAACTGTAGATAAGCAGCCTGTCTAGCTATTTTATTTTAGAAGAACCTTTAGAATGACCCACACACCTTACTTGTAGCAACCAGAAAGAGCTTTTACCTCTGGGGCAATGACAAGATGACCTTAGTAACTAATGAGGGATGGTGACAAAAGACTTCCACTCAGGCAGACCATGAAAGTGTCTGAGTTTCCTAAACAGGAAGTCTTGAAATGATACATTCCTTTTGTACCTCACAAAAGAGTAAGGGAGGGGGTTTGATGGAGATTAAAATGGTCTTACTTAGCAGCTGTGAAAAAGCTCAATTAGCAAAAATCTAGGTGTTAGCAACAGAGAACTAGAGGGACCACCTTTCTTTTTTTTTAAAACTGGCTGTAAACTTTCACAAACAATACCTTCAAAATATTGTCAAAATGTTTCTCAAAATTCCTTTCTTTCTGAGAATGTATTGTCTACAGAGAGACACCATACAGTATATATATAAATAAGCAAACTTGTAGTGAGAGGGCCTTGTCTGGTTCATTGTACAAAGCGATATCCTGAAAAACCACACTGTCTCTGTTTGTTTCTGGTTACTCTATTTGGGGAAATGAAGATGAAAACGTTTATACATCTCTCTAACAATCACTGCCACTCAGATAGATAGCACTAATCAGCTACTTGCAGAGGCAGTGGGAACAGACAATGAAGAAAGATACAGGGTATCTGTATTTAAAATATTCTCACTGCACCTCCCTGCTGTTTTGCTCAGGAAAATTATTATTGAAAAAGCAACAAAAGCCTCTAGAACACATGCAAAAAAAATATAACCCCTTTTTCAAAAGTTGGCAGTAGCAGATTAGCAATTTCAATATTCCCAGGCAACTGAGACTCACAGATTTAAGGTGGTATGGGAGTCACAAAATGCCGGTAGAGTAACACATCTTGGATGCAACAGCTTTCAGTGTGAATCTGTGTTGGGTTTTTTCTATTTCTGAAACAGCAGCAATCAGTGGTGTCACTGTGCATTTAGTTCTCTGATGTGTTATTACCATACAAGAATTATTTCTATGGTCGTAATATCTCAAGCATGTTGTGGTACATCATTTTGTCTATGTTTTTCTTCCTTTCAGTGCTGGCTCCCGTAAGTGCACTGTGAAGCAGCATGAAGGAATGAGCTGCTTTTTTAGTACTACATGCCAGTATCAACAGATGCCATCCTTACTGTGTCCAGCATTAATCTGGAAAAGGGTAACAATACGCAACACTACCACTGAAGAACAGAGAAGCTAACAGCAACTGTCCCTATATATATCCTGAGACAACTAATGTGTGGAAGGGACAGAATTACTTTGGAGTCCTAACGGCACAGGTCAAAAAGAAATATCCTTGAATTAAGCAGGAAACAAGCTGACACAGTGTGAGAGAACTTCAGTCATATTATCGAAAACAGTGTCTTTAAAGCCATAGAATCATAGAATAGTTTGGTTTGGAAGGGACCTTTAAAAGCCATTTAGTCCAACCCCCCTGCAATAAGCAGGGACATCTACGACTACATCAGGTTGCTCAGAGTCCTGTCCAACCTGATCTTGAATGTTTATAGGGATGGGGCATCTACCACCTCGCTGGACAACCTGTGCCAGTGTTTCACCAAACCCATTGTAAAAAATTTCTTCCTTATGCCAGCTCTTTTCATTTAAAACCCTCGTACTATCACAACAGGCCCTGCTAAAAGTTTGTCTCCATCTCTTTTTATAGGCCCCCTTTAGGTTCTGGAAGGCTGCTATACAGTATCCCTGGAACCTACTCTACATCTCTCTCAATAGTGAATTTAGCTGTGTACATGGACAAGACATTGAAAAAGGAAATTAATTCTCCATATGAGGGAGAAGTGAGAAGCTGCTTACTAAACTGTTAAGCCTGAAACAAATGAATTCCTCCATAAGCTTACTGTACCGGAATGCATTTTCCTTTACGCTCCAGAACCCGGGACCTATGGACTGAAAAGTGTCACCTCATGGGAACATTTTGATCAACTTTTACCAAATTAGAACAGAGATGACAAGCAAACTGGCCAGAAGTAAGGAACTGAAATCCTCTTGTATGGCCACAGGGTGTCATCCTTGCTCTACGTGCTGGCCTCGAATGACCAGCCTCTGCAGGGGAAAAAAGTCTTTATTATAAAAAGCTCAGTTAATGGATCAGAGGTCTGTAGCTTTCTCAGCCTAACCTGCTCACATTCATTATCATGCAATACACACTGAGGTTACTCTTCCCAGTTTCCTTATGCTAACTATTTTGCCCTGACAGGTGCTGGCACTGCAGTCATATTTCTGAGCTGGTTAGACTAGCTCCCTCTTTTCAAGTTACAGAACTGGATTAAGAGTGTCAGAGGACAGTGAGTTCAGTAATGCTTTGAATGTTTTTTTTCTGTCACTGACATTAAGAACCACGGATTTTTAGGCAAATCGCCCAGTTCACATCTCTTCTAATACAGGATGCTCTTGCACATTTAATAACACTTAGTCCAGTTCAATTTTCAAATTGATTCTTTTGCTGCTCTGAGGGAATTACTCTGATGGCTAACAGGGCTCACATTTAGACCCAAGATTTTTCTTTCATAACTGTACTGCTTTCCTTCCAGTTACAGCATTTTACCCTAAAATCTCTTGCAGCTTGCTAGGCACTTAAACATCTGTCAGTTGCCTCTTCCAGTTCTGATCAAACTGCATTGTTTTGGGAATGTATGAGAAGGATGCAGTGTGTGGAGGGGCTGAAAATGCGTGTGACAGTGGGAAACCCTCCACCGTTCATTTACCTGAGGTACTCGTAGAGTCCATACATGGGCAAGAAGTCGATGTCAGACAGAAACATGTATGGTGTGCTGATATGCTTCATGGCCACATTCCTTAGCAGATTCACAGGATAGAACTGGCCCTCCTTGTACACGATATGATAGCCAACATTGTGGCGGCTCATAAGTACTTCTGAGCCCTGGGCGTAGCGCAGAAATTGCTGGGCTTCTGCATCAGAAAGATAGAGTGCCAGGCTGATTGGACCTTCCCAGTGTTTGCAGATGGCTTCAAGCATCTGGAGCCTGAAAGAGGAAGGGTGAGAATAAGAAAAGGCTGTCTTCCTGTCTGGGGCCCTTTGCCTGGGTTCATCAATGCAGGTATCTGTCTCTAAGTGAGAGTCACTTCATATGCTGTGGAAAGCGATGAGTATTTCTACACCACAGTTAATCTCATGTAAACTGATGTCTCCTTCCAGACAGATGGGTGGCACCCTAGATATGCCTACTTCTCCCCACTGAATACAAGGAAACCTAGAGATGGCCCTAGCTTAGATACACATGAACACAACTTAGATACCTAAAGCTAGGTGAAATCAACACCATCCTTGTTGCCTTAAGTGTTGATGCTGCAGGAAAACCCGCATGGATGATATGACTTCATCTGATGTGAACTTTGTGCAGGTACAGGAATCTACCTATGAGGATTTACTTACAGCATACTATGGTACTCTTCAACAAATTTGTGGAAGAAAAAGATGTACAGACACACAAATCATTTTACCTCCTATTTAGGAAAACCTTCCCCAGATTTTTTCGAGGCAGTTAGTTGGACCTTGAAAGATGTTAAAAGCAACAGGTCAAGGGAATATAGACATTTGCATAGACTAGAAGAAGCCTCGATGTCAGACAAAGGGTAAAAAATGATACACCAATAAAAATGGGATCTACTGTGTGTAGGGAGTAAGGGCAGAAGGAGGGAGAGACCACTGCTGTGGAATATCAAAAGAACATCTCAGACAAAACAATCATTTAAACTACTAATTTGTATATGCTCTAGAAGTATCTCCAATATCATTAAATCATTTTCAGAACAGGTTGCATCGATGTGTATTTCTTAAAACTTTCAGCAGTTACAATACTATTGATGAAAATGACAACAAAAGATCTCACACATAAATGTAAATCAAACCCAGGCTGGTCAAAATCGTTTAAGCACTTTGGGTAATTTATAGAAAATTACCTAGAGATTAAGATATGCCACCCAAAAATACAGCAAGGACTGATTAGAAAGCCTCTTGAGCTAACACAAAGGGAAATGAACTTATGCAGCCCAGTCAGATATTCTATTAAAAATTAGGAAGAGTAGACTATGCAACATGATTATCTTCTCTCCCTTCCAAATCCACATTACTAGATTGTTCCTATGAATATTTATACAGAATACAAGAAAACTTTTCTGCATCATTTTAATCAGAGAAAATAATTTCCCCTCCGACTATCTCTGTAAGCTTTGCAGCAGAAAGGAATGATATACCAGCAAACACACATTCTGACTTAACATTAATAGCTTTTTCCTGCATTTCTGAATGATCGTGATGACATCCAAGACGATACAATCATTTTTCTTAGATATGAGATATTACCTTTGCTAGTCTACACCTGGTACATTATTTTCTTTTTATCTATTATTGAAACAAAGGTTATTATCAGCCTGAAACATACAGCCGAACTAGAAACACAAATCAATAGAAAAGATCTAAAAAGTATGTGAAGGCTTTAGGCTTCTGACTGTACAAATAATAAATATGGAAAAATACTTTTTCTTTTTTTATTTATTTCCTTTTTCCAACCTACTGGAAACTTATTAAGCAGCATACTCCACTTTATCAGCACTCAGATTTAGGGGCAGCCTTTAAAAAATGGAATACTTGCCTAGCAAGAAATGCAGCAAAATGCCTTTCAAGGACTCCACGCAACGGACAAATGGCATACATAACTTATCTAAATGGCACACCTGATAATGCTTGCAAAGCTTTTCATGATAGTTAAGTGGGAACTGAGTTTTGCTGGTATAAATTTCCAGCTGGACAGCTTAGTGCCCTTCAGAATACTCCATTTTTCTGCAGGGTTCTCATTGATAGGCTCCACTTCCACGAGTTTGATGCAGGGACTGCTGGGTGGGTGCTCCACAATCTACCCTCTGTAGGTTGTTACAATAGTCTCACTCACCATAAAGATCAGAATTATGAGTTTCTAAGCACAACACGACCAAGTAATTTTGATTTTGTTAGCGGTCTTGAGGAATGCATCCTCTTAAGGACTCTAGAGAAAATAAATGTACTGCTGTACTGCATAATAATGAGGTCATCATTTAGTTGGTAAATGTTTTACAGATCTGTTTCAGTTCAGTTCAGAAATTCAATTACTTTGTGAGGTTCTTTGTTGTCACTTTTCTTAAGAATACTCAACCAATTTACTACTCGTTCTCGCCCAGATGTCAAGTGGTGTAACAATAATCATGTCTTTCCTGTCCACATCCCAGGCTCATATTTTTGTAACTCCCACTCTGCTTTCTCAATGCCAGGTACATGGCATGCCTTTAAAAAAGGCTGCCTAGCCAAAACAAGCATGAAACACACAGTGATGCAACCAAGCCATTATTCAAGAAAACGTCGTATCAGTATAAAAGGTGACAATTAACCAGTAATAAACATCACTGAATGAGGTTGGTCTCAAAACTTCTACCTAAAGAAATTAATGTTAGCTCCTAAACCTCATTCCCCTCTTCCATTCCTCAGCACAGGCAAATACAAGCCTGTCACAACAGTCATGTCAGTCTCATATCCAAAAGGACTATAATTGGAGAAACCAGGAGTTGTTTTTTTGCCTTTCCTCATCTCGGATGATAATTTGAAAGAACAATGCAGGAATGCAGCGTATAGCACATTGTTTATGTACATGCCATCTTACATCTGAGACACAATTCTTAAATGTCTACAGCTACGCTGGAGGAGTTTAATAGAAGTGGTTTAAAGAAGATTAAAAAAAAAAAGTATCTGAAAGATGTGAAAGAAAACAAAGCAGCTAAACAGTTCTTTGGTATGGTATTATTTATTGATTTTAGCTGAAAGGTATTTCCAACTCAAATCAATAATTTATAGCAACACACCAAAGAAGCAGGGAAGATTTTTCAGATTCTTCCTGCACGAATGTTCTTCCTGAATAAAAATGTGTGGTCCTGTCTATCAATAAAAACATGTGCCCCAGTGAGAACCTAGAAAGGGAAACAGATGCTGAAACTTTGCATCAGTGCCAGTGAATAAGCACTGAGCCCCAGATCATTCTTTTGAATGAAATTCTGGGGGGAAAATATACCATGTGCACACACCAGCTTTACTAATTTACTGTGGCACTCGCTCAGGGCCTGGCTTAATTTATTTCTTTAGTTTTTTACACAAAGGTTTGTGAACACTTAAGAAATGATTCCTCAATTCAAAATCAACAGAACAGACACTGATGTGCAGAGCAAATCATAACACAATGTGCAGGATGCAGTGCTGAGGCATGGGCCAAAGAGAATAGTCCTCATTTGTTCATGTTTATTTTAAAACAGGCTGTTAATGTTTTGTTGATCTGATTTTCTCTGACCCTCCTGCAATATTGCTGACCTTCTGCTGGTGTAGCAGTGGTGGCATTCACGGATCATGTTTGTTGTATTCTGTGTGTTTAATAGCCAATATTCAAGGAGATCTGACCTGGTTTGTAACCCATTCTCATACCAGTAACTACAAAGGTTGGTCCAGATTAAAACTGAAGAACAGGAGGAAACAGGAGACTGACAATTCAAAATTTCACAAAGTTGGCTTACCCAGGGCTTCTGAAAAATGATAACTAATTGCAATGGTGGGAATCAGAAAGATGCAGGTGAAACTTTTCCTATTTTCCCAAGTGAAATACAAGTTAAAATTTCACTTTAGACCAGAACATAAAGTTCAGAAGAATTAGAAATTTTAATCTGAAAATCAACATTTGTATAAAAACGCAGTGACTCCACTCAAAAGATCTTATGTTTCACACTACCACATTAAAAAACGAGTTTAATTTTCAAGTTCCCAATTTGAAACGAAAATGGTTAGTTTTGATTTTCACTGTAAGAAAAATCACTAATTGAGCTTTTCTGCAAGGAAAAGAGCAATGAAAACAAACGTCTAATGAGGAATTAAAGAGTGTAAAATCCTCATCAGGTACAACTGCTTACCTAACCCTATTACAAACAACTCCTGCTTTTTCTCAGAAACCCTTCATAACTCCTAATACCTGACAAACCTTACAGGTAACAACCCTTGCAATTCCAATATTCAGCCTCTCATGAACTCTACCCATACTCGTGTGTGCACTGTGGAGCTGAAGTCTGGATGTCTGCATGATGTTTACCTGTGCTACTCCTAATTCAAGAAAGGTCTTACAATATGACATCCAAGTTTCTATGGAAATGAGTCTTTTTTCTCCCCAAAGCATCCCACAGTTGGATTTCTCTGTAAGAAAATATTGTGTCGCGCTTTCAGGGGAACAAACAGTTTTCCCTACCTGTCCATTGAAAGTTGAGCCACCAGTGTTACATCAGTATTGTCTGAAGCAGGCTCATATTCATAGTGCAGAAAATACAAATGAGTGCGATGGACGGTGAAACGTTCACGACGAAATTCATAGCATAAGTCATCCTCATCCAGCTCAGACAGCTGTTTCTGGAGCTGTAAGGAGAGAGTGGACATTATTGTAGTGATAGAACAAGGGGTAATGGGTTAAAACTTAAACAGGGGGAGTTTAGATTGGATATAAGGAGGAAATTCTTTCCTGTTAGGGTGGTGAGGCACTGGAATAGGCTGCCCAGGAAGGTTGTGAATGCTCCATCCCTGGCAGTGTTCAAGGCCAGGCTGGACGAGGCGTTGGGTGATATGGTTTAGAGCAAGGGGGGTTGCTCTAATGGCAGGGGGGTTGGAACTTGATGATCTTAAGGTCCTTTCCAACCCTAACTATTCTGTGATTCTATAATTCTATAAATTCTCTGTAATTATTTTAGTAAATCAGAAAGAATGAGGTTGGCAACATGCAGCATGTTGCAATGGGGAACGGAAGTGGAACATACAGAGTAGCATTGCTCCTGCAAGTCCCTGGACAAGAGACTAGAAGAAACCACTTGTAAGTAAACTGATAAGGCAGACAGACCATTGTCTTATGGTCTATATATCATATATATTATCTGCATTACATACTTTCAACATCCAGACCAGAAATGAAACAGTGAATGATCAAAGTTTCATAATCCCAGGTTTCAGAGCTAACACTCCAATGTGACTCATAATGTTATTCCTTACTAGAAGGAGTGTTTCAAACTACTCGTAGACATACAGCTTCAGTAGACAAAACTCAGCAGCACATTAAGCTTGTATGCACTGGACTGAGCAATTCCCATACTGCTGCCTCTGTTGGAGAATAGTAACTGCTGCCAGCAGCATGGACAGACAGCTGCAAGAAACATCTTTAACTGATCATTATTCTATCTCTTGAGATTTATGTATCTGCACCAGTTCAATTTTGCAATGAAAATATTCTTTCAGCTGCAGAATTAAGCCTACATTTCTATGGGATTTATACTTCTGGATACCTAGTTTCATAAATCCAAAGGATGGCATATTAGCAGAGAGCGGGTATTGTTTTGTCTCCCTTGGAAACCAAGCCCCTTCAAAGTTAAAATGGGCATCTCAGAGCAATTCAATCCTGAGTCACTTAGACCTGTAGCTTTAAGAGAATAAAAGTTTAGCTCTGAGGAAATAAGGAAGAGAAAAACTGACCAAAGGTCTATGCAGCTGACTAGTTCCATCCCTAAAGTGTATTATTTTAAAGAAAACATCCAGATAGATTATTTAAAAGGAAAAATCAGTCATATCTGCTGTAAAATGTACTATAAAGTGTAATGAAGATGAAAATAACATACGGTCTTAACAGGTCAAATAGAGTTCTGTCTGTATTGCTCTGAAATGTAGGTTATTAATAAAGGTGTTTTTATATTTCATTTTTAGAAAGCATCCTATAAGAAGAATACAATTGCATATTTATCAGTAAATAAGAAAAAGATTAATTTAATGGAAATTTCACAAGTTTTGATAAAAATCACAGTGCACTTCAAAAGCATTTCATGCAACAAACAGATTACTGAATTACAGACATTCATTTATATTTAAAAATCTCTTCTTTTTGTCCTGTTCAGGATGATTTAAAGAAATAGTTTTCTTACCTTCAAAAGAAAAAAAAAGTAGACATTTCTTGTTCTAATACTGTACTAAGAAGAGCTGTTGTTCTTGGAACTATAAGCATAATGGTTGCCACCAAGAATAATGCTTACAGATGAATGTTTTCCTGTGAAGGCTGATGGAATAATTCCTGATATTTTCCTGTACATCACTCTATAATCTTCTTTTGAATAATGGAAATATCTCTCCTTTGATTTCAAAGAGTTTTGGATCAGGCTCTCATTCTTCTGTGCTTTTGTTCTGCACAGATCTTAAAACATCCCTGAAGAGAGACTGCTTTTAGAAAGACGAGAGTCCAAATCTTGACAAATCTTTACTCAGGCAAAACTTATATTGAAATCAACTTCTCTTTTGGTGGAATAGAAATCGGGAGTTCTTTTCCACATTCTTGGAGTTTCATTGATTCTGCTTTACAAACTGTCATTCAGCTGAGCCTGTACTTTCTTTTCCAAGTCACATGGAAACAATAATTGAATTAAACATAATAATTACAACAGTGATTAGAAGGACTATTGAATCTTTCTATTTCTTCCTTGAAAAGAGATACTAGTATGACCTTGAGTGAATTATCAAGAAGATAATTGAAGTCTAAATGGTTAAACAATAGCAAAGCACATTTCAGGGATACTTACTATCCTGCTGTATATATAAATGACCAGGCTAGAAGTTTGTAATTACACAACAGCTATTAATCAGGCAGTCACTGAATGACTATCAGATTACATCTGGGTTGCAAGCTAAGAGGATATAAATACTTAATTATGAGTTAAACAGTAACATTTGGGGCTAAATTATGGCTTTGCAATCTACAGAGCCCTGGGTGGGAGAAGAGGAGGAGACAGCTTCTTAGAGGCCCCAGATGGTGTAACTCACCAAGTCACAGAGTTGGTGATGGAGGTGAAGGAGAGCAGCAAACAGCAGAAGATCCCTTCTGCTACAGGGCAGGAGAAATCTCGCTCTTTCCTCTGCATCTTGTAGGGTCAGGATTGTATCTCTGTCCTGTCACACTTTTTCTGAACCTGCAGTTATGCTGATGGTCTGCAAGGTTCTCACTGGCACTTCGCATGACTTATGCTCAGTACCCTGTGTAGCGTTGGACCCAAGTGATGGCCATGTCTCACCTCTTCTCTTAGGAGAAGAGATGATACACAGCCCACCCTTGGAGAGAGCATTCCCCAGAAGGACCATGTGCATGATGTGCTGCCTATCTACCCTAGCCTCTGCCCCTAGCACCCTCCCCTCAAGTGCAGGCAGGCTGCCATGGGGAAGCCCAAGCACAGGCTGTCATAGAACCCTGGCTAATATGCAGACATCACCTGGCAGTATCAGACACACAGCTTCATCAGCACATTGCAGGAATGCTTGTGCAATCCTTGCCCGATCATACCACGAACCTAAACTGCTAGGCTGCCTCAGGAGCCATGCTCTGCAGGTTGGGAAAACACAGTTTGCTTAAGGTGTGCTCCTTCAGATGGGAAAACCAGCACAAGGACAGTCTGAGACCTGGCCTGTAGCACTGCTTCTGCGTATGTGGCAAGCAGTCTGCGTTAAGGATGGAGCTATCCTGCAATGCTGAGGCAATAGGCGCTGGAATGCAGTAGCATGTGATTATCCATATGAAAATACCTCTCCTGCTGGGAGCAATGCTAGACATGCTAGGCACCCTGAATTTGGTCCAGCAAAAGCTGTAAGATCACAGGTTATCTCACTGAAGCTAGCGTTATGACCTGGACAAATTATAAGGACTAACAGCAGGGTGCTGTACATTTAATGCAGTTTAAGAGCCTTTTTCCCTCTCTCACTTTCTTTGTTCCCTTCATTTATATATATATATTCATATATACATTCAGACACCAGTGACCCAGTATCACATACACATAAAGCCTGCTTCCTCTTTACTATGAAGAGACACACACAACCTATAAATACATACTGTGCAAAGTCATATGACATTTTTTATTCATATATTTAAAATGATGAATGTTAAAGATGTGTGACATGCAAAAGACAGTGAATTGTCTGAGACAGACACATACACATATCCTTAAATCTATCTTTCTGAGTTACCTCATATCAATTTTCAGTTACGTGATCACATAAAATTTCTCCAGTGATATAATCTTATCTATAGCATGCACATTGCAGAGGTCCCCTATTTACAAAGAGCTTACAGCTTGGTTTAAGGTTTGCCGCTACATTATGCCTTCTGGAAAAGATGTGTTTATAATGGGAATGCTGACACGACTTATGCAAACAGATGCTTACTCAAACAGTGCACTAGTGCACCATCAAACTATCAGCTGGATTTGATAAAAATATGGCATCCTCATTATGGACCCCTCCATTATACTTACAACAATATACCTAATATAGTAAAGACTTCTTAACCTTAGAGTAACAGCATGTATTCTCGTGAGTACCTGCTTACCATAAGATTCACTGTTTCTACAAGATTTTCAATGCTAAGGCTACTTGCCACTGAGCATGTGGGAAATGTTACCTCTAGGAAACACTATCACAGTGAAAAATGTATTCTTTTCAGGCTGTGTATGGTAGACATTCTCCTAGGAAATACTGTAGTGGGGAAACAAGTGCTCTCATTAGCATCATGATGTTATGGAAATAAAAATGGCATATAAAATGGCAATAAAAATGCCATGACACTCATTGTGACAGAACAAAGAGACAAACAGATAAAAAGAAATCTACACTAAGTTACTTCTCTGGGCAACCAGCTGTGGCAGGTGATCAGACTTCGTCTCAGGGAAAGCTGTCTTTGAAGGCAGGCTGGCCAGAGTGGCACAGGCAGGCCAGAAGGTATTCAACTCTGTCATAAATCATCATGATTTACCAGGTCTCCTTGTCTGACATACATTTGTATGAGGTGAGGTGCTGTTTTCTATCCATGTGATCAATGGTAGACCCATATGATACATGGCACACAACATACACCTTTCACCAGCAAACTGGATTGTCTAATGTCTAAGGGTGTTCCTAGGATAAGCATATTTGTGATTGGCCTCATTTTAAATGCTGTGCCACAGAAACCATTTACTCCCCACCAAAATCAACAGGACTTCATCTCACATGAGATCAACCCAAAATCTGGGATCAGAAGTATTTTCAAGGGATTAGTGATATTCAAAAAAGCACCAACAAGAAACACTTTGTGTCTAGCACCTATTTAGATCTTGGGGAAGGGGATAGAAACACTAATGTAGGCATCTCTATCAAGTGTCTAGGTGACGTGAGATGACACTAAGCTTAAGTCACTCGATATTCATGCCAACACAACAGGAACTGAGCAGCTTAGTTGAAAACTACCTTTTAGATCATTGTTCCTTCTCCCAGCTGTATGCAGTTAAGATTCATAGCACAAAATCAACTCAGCTTAGCTGCTGAGAGGAGAACTAACACCAGCCTGGGATGAAACTACAATC